TTAGATAAGTAAATGAAGAAAGATGATGATGATGATGATAGATAGATAGATAGATAGATAGATAGTAGATAGATAGATAGATAGATAATAGATAGATAGATAGATGATAGATAGATAGATAGATAGATAGATAGATAGATAGATAGATAGATAGATAATAGATAAACTTTCTTGGAGGAAATAGTAGTCACAGCAATCAGTGTCTCAAGTTGATGCCTACTATTTATTATGAATAGGGAATTTCTACTTCATGCAGGAACTCTGAGCTCTGAACAATTAAATCTATCATAAGAGGAAAGCCTTTCTGTTTTCCTTCTCCTTCTCTTATGTTTGTTTTCTTCTAATGCAATTTAGTGTGCTTTGAGAGTGAATTTCAGTATCACGGGCAAGTGTTGACTCATAGCAATATATTTGAAATAGGAAGGCAGTTGTCTACTAATAGATGAAGATATAAATAGATAGAAAGGTTGGTAGATATTTTTTTTATGTTAACTAAGGCTATTCTCTTCTTCTTTAGTGGAAAATTTCTTCCAAAAATATTAAAACTCTATTTTCCTACTTGCTAGATTTCCCATTTTGTGGAATAATATTACATCAGTCTCAAGTGAAAAAAATATTACATATTCCATTAGAATCTAGACTGAAGGCTAATGATTTCATTTATCTTTGTCTAGTTCTTCTAGGTTTTCTAGCTCTGTAGATGTACAAAACAGATTTCAATAGCAATATACTCATGATAGTGTGAGGTAGGGGAGGAGCCTTAGACTGAAAGCTGGGTGACACAGTCTCTGGTGGACTCTTCTGGGTATGCTCACATCTGTGCCTTTGTTTCCTTTTCTGTTATTGTATTTAATAGGGTTTGGGGGAGGATCACATGAGAGTGTTTCATATGGGAAAATAATTTTTTAAGTATACTATTAATGCCATTTCCTTATTATTATTGAATGTGTTAATTGTAAAAAGTAGAAGCAATACTACATTTCAACTCTTTTAAATATAAATATAAATAGGTAGCACACATTAAACCAGGAAGCATGGTCATTAATGTGTGCTACCTATTTATATTTATATTTAAATACACAAGCATCTACTTCCTAGACTCAAATAATCACGGTACCTGTTTTTCATATTTGAGCTTTTTCCATTTTTTTTTTTAAAATAAGGAACATTCCATGTTGCTACTAATGTTTTGATAGTTTGTTTTTTATTTAAAGAATAAAATATATGCGGCTTACTACAGCAGAACTTCAGACTATATTTTGCAAATCCTTCTCTGATTTCCACACTTTGGGGGCTTCCTGAGTTCATCTGGTCTATGTTCTGTAAATCATACCAACAT